AACCTCATCACAGTGATAGAATTTACAACACATAAGGAAATCACATCAGATTACACAATCATACAATACTGGGAATCATGACCTAGCCAAGTTGCTATACACATTTTTTTGGGGGACACAGTTCAATCCATGACACTGGCCTTCTGGCTTCTGATTAGGTTTGGACAATGGGGAGCCCCACAGGATGCTGGAGAGAGGGAGAAGAGTTGAATAGAGGAATTTGTTCCTCTGCTGTCTCCCTGTGTGGTAGCTTTGGTCTGGATGTATCCCTGTGCCACTGGTTTTAACTTTGCTCAAGAAAACCCCCTTGATGACTCTCTCCATCCTGGTTTCAGGGACCATCCCTGGTCTTCACACCTAGGGGTGGTGACAGAGTTGCTACTAGTCTCAGAGTACTGAACCACCCTGTGATTTCAGTACACCCCTCTCACATTGCTGCAAATAGTGCCTTTACTAAACCCTCCTCAAATGATAAAATTGTCATCTGTTCCTTGCTGGGACCCTCACTGACGGTGGCTCCAGGAAATACACCTTCCAAATGGATTCTGGGATTGGTTTGCTCATATAATTTAGGAGGACAGGGATCATCTCCTTGTGAGGGAGAAAATCAATCAAAACAAAAAGCAGTGGCTGTCAGGTTGATGCCAACTCATGGTGACCCTATGTGTGTCAGAGTAGAACTGTGCTCCATAGGGTTTTTAATGGCTGATTTCTCAGAAGTAGATCACCAGGCCTTTCTTCCAAGTTTCCTGTGGGTGAACTTGAACCTCCAACCTTTCAGTTAGCAGCCGAGTGAGTTACGTTAGGGAGAAAGGCACACGTATTCCACGGCATGTGTGGGAATCATGGTTACTTAAATTATCACCAGTAGTAGCATGGCTGACTGTGTTTAATAAGTCCTCCAGTTGATTCTGACGTGTACTAAAGTTTGAGAACTAGAATTATAGCATGCCCCACTGTCATCCCTGATCTACAGAGAATAGCCTCCACAGAGCTCTGGAGGATGCTGCCCTCCTCCCCCTACCTCATCAAGCATTTCGTAGTGCCTTGGCAGAGGAAGTGTCCACCTGGCCCTCCCCAGGAGCGCAGTTAAGGGAGGGCTGATCAGCTTGCACTTAATAGATTCATTACAACAGACCCACTTCTGGAGTCTTTGAACTCCCTCCTAACATCCCAGGGAATTTCAACTTCATTAACTGCAGGTTTCTTTTTAAGTCTGGACTTCAATTAGCCAATCTAGCTGACCATTAACATCACTCCCAGGTGCTTGTGCCAACACATTAAATCCTGAACTCTGGCTGAGTGTACTCATGTCAATGCATTTGGCTGATTGAGCTCTATATGTTATCCTCCTCAGTCTAATACCCTTAGAATCCACTCTTACACATGTCCCCCAAACTACTCCTGGAAATTGAGTGGGTGAGGGGGCTGTCTGTCCTTCCCTCTACTTCAGGATCTGCTATCACAGGTCACATAGGACAGTGTGTTTAAGAGCCTGGGATTGGAAGTCAGCCAGATATGGGTTCGAATCCTGGCTCTACCTCTTACTGGTTATGTGATCACCTCTCTGAGGAAACTAATTATTAATTATTACCTTGTAGTGCCACCACCCCGCTGTCAGTTTGTCATATTGTGGTGGCTGATGTGTGCTATCATGCTAGAAGCTATGTCAGCAGTATTTCAAATACCAGCAGAGTCACCCAAGGTAGACAGGTTCCAGCAGTGCTTCCAGACTAAGGCAGACTAGAAAGAAAGGCCTGGAGATCTGCTTCCAAAAATAAGCCAATGAAAACCTTATGGATTACAGAATATTGTCCCAGTGTTTGACTCATTTACTTTGGCCATGTCATCAGGAGGGGACTGATCACTGGAGGAGGACATCATGTTTGGTAAAGAGGAGGGCCAATGAAGGAGAGGAAAACCGTCAATGAGATGGGTTGACACAATGGCCATGACAATGGACTGAAACATACCAATGATCATGAAGACGGCCCAGGAACAGGCAACATTTTGTTCTGTTATACATGGGGTCATCACGAGTCTAAGTCACCTTGATGGCAACTAATAACACATAGTGATGTTGTGAGAGTCATATTAGATGATGCATGGAAAGGGCTTAGCATGGTGACAAGAATTTGCATTTCTAACAAGTTCCCAGGTGATGCTGATGCTGCTGGTCCAGGGGCCACATTCAGAAAACCACTGCTGTAAAGGAACTGGGTTCCCTGACCACAGAGGGAGGATTGGGATTGTCATGGATTGAATTGTGTCCCCCAAAAATGTGTGTATCAATTTGGCTAGGCCATGATTCCCAGTGTTGCATGATTGTCCACCATTTTGTCATCTGATGTGATTTTCCTGCGTGTTATAAATCCTGTCTCTATGATGTTAATAAGATGGGATTAGCGGCAGTTATGTTAATGGGACAGGACTCAATCTACAAGATTAGATGGTGTTTTAAACCAATCTCTTTTGAGATATGAAAGAGAGAATCGAGCAGAGAGACTGAGGGACCTCATACCACCAAGAAACAAGAGCCAGGAGAATAGCACGTCCTTTGGACCTGGGGTTTCTGCACTAAGAAGCTCCTAGACCATGGGAAGATTGATGACAAGGACCTTTCTCCAGAGCTGACAGAGAGAGAAAGTCTTCCCCTGGAGCTGACACTCTTAATTTGGACTTCTAGCCTCCTAGACTGTGAGAGAATAAATTCCTCTTTGTTAAAGCCATCCACTTGTGGTATTTCTGTTATAGCAGCACTAGATGACTAAGACAAGGATCCAGGAGGCGCAAAGGCCGGAAGGTGGTGCTTATTAAACAGCAAAGACAGGGTAGGCACAATTAGCCCAAGAAGCCACAGGGCTGGAGGGATAACCCAGAGTGTTTTTACTGGCAGGGACTTGTGGTTATAATCATAGGTCTCTAGACTTGAAATAGAGGGATTGCTTATCAAGATGCTGCTTGACTTTAGGCAGAAAATTCTAGGTTTCATGGGCAGGAACTTAATACAAATCACTGTAGAAGAGATTCATTACCTCTTACCCAGTTATCAGATCCAAGCCACTTCACAGACTGGAGTCCCTTAATTGATGGGGAGGCCAGGTCCCTTTGAGGAAGTGCCACAGTGCTGAGCTGACAGAAAAAATACAGGACACTTAGTTAAATTTGAGTTTCAGATAAACACTGAATAATTTTTTTAGTACAAATATGTCTCATGCAATATTTTTGCTGAATCTGGAAACCCAGAGGTCTATGCTGTGGATTTCCCCCAAGCCTTCCCCAGAGGAACCTGCCACCATATGCCAACGTGACTCCAGTCTGAAGAAATAAATACTGAGAACTTCTGGGATTACTAGTTGCTGGCTCTGAATGGTTGGTGTTATACTCTGGGGCTTAAAATGCCACTCTGGTCCACCAGTCAGAAAAGAAGCTTTAGGAGGTCTGATACCAGGTACTCAATTATGTTCAGAACATCGCTTTCTAGAAGTCACCACTATTTTTGCTTCTGTCACCATATCTGTTCTTGAAATTCATACAAATGGAATCATACAGTATGCATATTTTGTGTCTGAGATCTTGCACTTAATGTAATGTTTTAAAAATGTATATATCAGCAGTTTGTTCTTTTTATTGCTGGGTAATATTCCATTGTATGAATATTATCCATTTTCTTATTGATAGACATTGGAGATGTTTCCAGTTTGGGGCTATTATGAATAAAGTTACTATGAACATTCTTGTTCAAATCTTTTTGTGTTCATATGCCCTCTTTTAATTTGAATATTTACTTAGAAGTGGAATTTTTTTAACTATATTAAAAACTTATGAAGAGTTTCCAAAACATTCCACCAGCAATGTATCCATTCGCTCTACATTTCCACCAACACTTGGTACTGTCACTATTTTCCATTTTAGCCACTTTGGTGTTTTGTCTTTTGTGACCTTGGTGGGAAGGTCAGTTACTTGGTAGATTCTCCCTTACTTTGATTGATCTGATGTTTCTTCATGATTATATTCAGTTTATGTAATTTTGACAGAAAGGTAATTGAAGTAATGTTGTGCCCTTCTCACTGCATCATACTAAGAGACACACAAGTTGATTTGTCTCATTATTGGTGATATTAACTTTTATTACTTGATCAAAATTATGTCTGTAGTTCTTTTCATTGTATAAGTTGAATAATAAGTGGTTAACTAATAAGTTAACATCGAGGACATCATACATAAAGAATGCAAAAAGTCATTAAAAAGACAGAAAAGAAAGAAAAGACCAAAATGGATGTCAGAAGAGACTCTGAAACTTGCTCTTAAATGTACAGCAGCTAAAGCAAAAGGAAGAAATGACAAAGTCAAAGAGCTGAACAGAAGATTTCAACGGACGGCTCAAAAGATGAAGTGTTATGATGAAACACACAAAGACCTGAATTTAGAAAACCAAAAGGGAAGAACACACTTGGCATTTCTCAAGCTGAAAGAACTGAAGGAAAAATTCAAACCTCGACTTGCAATACTGAAGGATTCTATGGGCAAAATATTGAATGACACAAGAAGCATCCAAAGAAGATGGAAGGAATACACAGAGTCATTGTACCAAAAGGAATTGGTCGACATTCAACTATTTCAGGAGGCAGCATATGATCAAGAACTGATGGTACTGGAGGAAGAAGTCCAAGCTGCACTTGAAGGCATTGGCAAAAAAAAAGATTCCAGGAATTGACAGAATATCAACTAAGAAGTTTCAACAAACATATGCAATACTGGAGATGCTCATTCATCTATGCCAAGAAATTTGGAAGATAGCTACTTGGCCAACCAACTGGAAAAGATCCATATTTGTGCACATGCCAAGGAAAGGTGATCTAACAGAATGTGCAAATTATCAAACAATATCATTAGTATCACACGCAGGCAAAATTTTGCTGAAGATAATTCAAAAACAGTTGCGGCAGTACATCAACAGGGAACTGCCAGAAATTAAAGCTGGATTCAGAAGAGGATGTGGAATGAAGGATATCTTTGCTGATGTCAGATGGATCTTGGTTGAAAGCAGAGAATACCAGAAAGATGTTTATCTGTGTTTTGCTGACTATGTAAAGGCATTTGACTGTGTGGATCATAACAAATTATGGTTAACATTACGAAGAATGGGAATTCCAGAATGCTTAATTGTGTTCATGTGGAACCTGTACATAGACGAAGAGGTAGTCGTTTAAACAGAACAAGGAGATATTGTGTGGTTTAAAATCAGGAAAGCTGTGCATCAGGGTTGTATCCTTTCACCACACTTATTCAGTCTGTATGCTGAGCAAATAATCTAAGAAGCTGGATTATATGAATAAGAATGTGGCATCAGGGTTGGAGGAAGACTTATTAACAACCTGCGATAAGCAGGTGACACAACTTTGCTTGCTGAACGTGAAGAGGACTTGAAGCACTTACGGATGAAGATCAAAGACTACGGCCTTCAGTATGAATTGCACCTCAACATGAAGAAAACACAAATCCTCACAACTGGACCAGTAGGCAACATCATGACAAACAGAGAAAGTATTGAAGTTGTCAAGGACTTCCTTTTACTTGGATCCACAATCAACCTCCATGGAAGCAGCAGTGAAGAAATTAACTGACACATTGCATTGGATGAATCTGCTGCAAAAGATCTGTTTAAAGTGTTAAAAAGCAATGATGTCACTTTAAAGACTACGGTGCACCTGACTCAAGCCATTGTGCTTTCAATTGCATCATATGAGTGTGAAAGCTGGACAATGAGGAAGACCAAAGAAGAATTGATGCCTTTGAATTATGGTGTTGGTGAAGAATATTGGATATACCATGGACTGCCAGAAGAACGAATAAATCCATCTTGGAAGAACTATAGGCAGAATGCTCCTTAGAATTGAGAATGGGGAAACTTCATCTTAGGTACTTTGGACATATTAACAGGAGGGACCAGTTCCTGGAGAAGCACATCATGCTTAGTAAAGTAGAAGGTCAACGAAAAAGAAGTAGACCCTCAACGAGATGGATTGAAACAGTGACTGTAACAATGGGCTCAAGCATAGCAACAATTGTGAGAGTGGCGCAGGACGGAGCAGTGTGTGTCATTCTGTTGTTGGCAGGGTCGCTATGAATCGGAACAGACTTGACAGCATCTAGCAACTACACCAGCAACAGTTATTAATTTGGTAAAGTGGAGGGTCAGCGAAAACTAGGGAAACCCTCCATGAGGTGGATTAACACGGTGGCTGCAACAGTGAGCTCAAACATACCAAAGATTGTGAGGATGGCTCAGAATGGGGGCAATATTTTGTTCTGTTATACATGAGGCTGCCATGAGTCATAGCCAAGTCTACAACAACTAACAACAACAACAATTATTAATTGTGTTGAGGGGATATACCTTGAGGCTATGTAAATATTCCGGTTATAACAAACTTTTCACCCATAGATAATAGCATCCATAGGTAATTCTTGCCTGAATAGATTTTTACTCTGATGGTTGCTAAATAGTGATCTTCTAACCCCAATGGTCCTTCTATATTTTTTTGGTTAGCATTTTACTGTAAATTAGAACTTCCTCCTTTTGATTTTACTCAAAGGGTGAAAATCCATTGCTAACTTTAAAAAATATGTACGTATATTTGTCTTGATGATCAAAATTCCCAGACTTGGCCAGTGTAACCTGCTTCAAATTGACTCCTGTGTCTTTTTGACATATTTCCATCATTCTTTGAGCACTCCTTACTTTCTGGCACAACATGCTTTTCCAGCACTGGAGTCAGCCATTTACACAAGGAGCCCTTGTTTCGTTAGTGAAGATTGGCATTTAGAAACTAAGTTTGGGCATTTACTGCACACACTGATACTGTTGTGTCATTGTTACTAGACTCTCAGTGGACGTAACCTATGTGTGTGTTTCTGTCTATCTGTTCTTCTATCTATCCGTCCGTCCATCCATCCATCCATCCATCCATCCATTCATCTATTTTTAAACCAGGAATTCACACCAATACCTCCTATTCCAGTCCAACACCACAGAGTTTTTTCTAGCCTTTCAACTTTCGTATTTTTATATGGAATCTTCTCCAACAGTGAGAGACTTGGCTTTAGTACGTTTACTTATTGATGCAATTCCCTTCTATGTAACCATTCTCCTATTTATGCGATGGACTCAGCCCCATCGCCCACTTCTACCATTTTCTTCTTCCCAGCTAAATGTTACTCCAAGAAAAATGAGACTGAGTAGTTAAAAATTATATATATATATTTATTTAAAAATCCCATTATCATATAATAACATTAATTTCAACAATAACATGACAAATAACACATTTGACTCACAGGAGCTCTGATTTCCTAAAAAAACAGAAGTGCTTCACACTGATGGTCCATGGAAGGACCAGCACAATACTACAGACAGGCAGGAGGCAGGACAATAGCATTCTGCCATGAACTTAGTTGAGATCACAGAAAGGAAAACATGTCACCCAGGGTTTTGTATTTAATGATACATTAGGATTTATGGAAGATAAACTCAAAACATCAATAACTTAAATATTATTAAAAATTTATTAAGATATATTATGCTTTAAATTATTGAACAAAATATCTCCTTCTGGACATTACAATAAAATAATACGACGCTGCATCTGGGGATATTTGGGGAAAAATAAATAGAGTTTTGCTCAGGCTCTGTCTCCCAGTCCAGGTGTGACAGTTGAAGGCTTTGGGGTTTGGGACTTTTGGTCCAGGAGCTTCATGAAATCCTGGACCCACCTCTCCTTGGGGTCAGCACAGACCTCTTTGGCTAGTTTAGTCTTGAAGCTGTGGAGGAGACGGTTCACAGTTAGACAGAATGCCTTGAGGATTCTATTCAGGACTGTGGCTACTTGGGCCCTAAACCTACTCACTCCTTCTTCCCTGGATGAGAAACTGAGTTGAGCACAAGAGAAAAGAAGAGGGTGGAAGGAATAAGATTCAGGAGGAAGTGCTGCTCTTGCTATCCCAGGTGAAGCCCTCCCTCCTCCTGACTAGAGGACGTGGGACCATCTGACCAAGTTTCCCAAGAAGTTGCCTGGAGTAAGTATGAATTTTTTCCTCATAAGTTCAGTTTCTCCATGGAATAAAGGGGTTCTTCGAATTAAAAGGTTTATTTATCTGACTCCTTTGGATGTGAATCCTGACCTCCTCCTCCTCTTCCCTTAACCCCTCTCCCATTCCTGAGATAGAACTTCTGGCTGAGGGGGCCGGGCATGGTCCACTCACATCACGGCTTCCTGAGGACACTGACTGTTGATGACTCTTGTGTAGCTCACCAGCTTCTGGATGGGGATCTTCCTACTGACCACATTAAAGCAGCAGGTGATTGGGATGGAAATTGAGTCTGTAAAACGCAAAGAATGAGGCAGTTAGTATGCATTAGAAATATGGCTTTGTAGGGGAAGGAGGAGCAGTTAGGAGAAGACAAAACAAAGGTGGGGGTTAGACCTAGAACCTACCTACTCCCAGGTTCAGTGCCTTAGTTCACATCCCAGAGATAAAATGCCACCTCTGAGTCAGTTTCCTCTATTGAACTACGGGGACCTATCATTGTTGATCGAGTACAGAAAAATCCCAATTAACAAGCCCAGGCCTAGTAGTACCATTAGGAGTGTCTACTGAAAGGTCACAGCCTTGAAAACCCTATGGAGCAGTTCTGCTCTGAGCACATGGGGTCACCATGAGTCAGAATCAACTTGATTGCAACTAACAACAACTAACTCAAAACCTCTGATGCTGAGAAAATAAGTTCTAGGAACTTGCTTCTCTGTGATTCTTTTCCCCATGGGCTTTAGAGCCAATCTGCGTCACATGCTGAGGTTCTTTTGGGTCTTTATTCTTATTACACAATCACCATTTCTGAAAACTCCATTGGACACAATCCAAAATCTGAACTCCAAGCAATAGTTTTTTCCTCTCTGCGACTGCCTAAAATGTCCTTCGTGTTCACAGTGAGAGAATATCCTTTCTTCCGTGCAACCTGCCCAAACAATGTGTGGGTAGGTGAAGTAGTGGCTGCACTTTGTATCTCTTCCTAAAGCTAATGTCAGGACAGATCTTGCGAATTGGTCTCAGGGACCTGGGCATCTATCTGCCTCTCACCAGCTGTGACATTACCGCTCGTCTTGATTCCTCTCTGGATCTCAGGGTTCTCTGCCTTTAAAACGCAAACTCTGCAACTAGTTTTGGATGACTCATGCTGGGATGTTAGTCCCTGAGTAGTTAAAATGGAGGGAAAGAACTTACATGGTTGAGCAAGCAGCTGGGTGCTGAAGGTGGCTGTTGTGAGCAGCAGGGACAGAAGCACCGAGGAGACCTTCATATTGGAGGGTGGGGAGGTGAGCTTCAGCACCAGAGCTGGCAGCTCCTGCGTTGGTTGCAGCCTCTCCATTCCTCTGTGGTTCTGGCTGCCTTTTATAGTAAGAAGAGAACCTGGCAGAGTCACGGTCAAGGAAGGATGAAGTAAGACCCTGGACATGCTGAGTAGGCCACCAGAGCCTGGGGTGGTTTCCAGACACTGAGAGAGGGAAGCTCTGTGTGGAGCAGGGACAGAAGGGAATGCAGCTGTGTCAAGCAAAGTGTAGGAAGTGACCTCATTGGACTAGTATTGGACTATTAAGGGCTCTGATTTATCTGAAATGGAAAATGGTTTGTAGGAAAGAAACAGTGGAAGCTGAGGTCATAGTGGAGTCATAGAGAGTCTGAGATGGGGCCCTAGGGCTTAGCTCGTGTTTTTCCTCAGACTCAGATCACTGCAGTCCTAAACTAGAGGTGTTCCTTTAGGACAGGTGGCTCTACAGAACCTTGGCTGAATGGTGGGATCTGGAATCTTCCAGTCTCCATGCCCTGGGGTCTTACTTAGTGTTATGGGACACCAGAATTAGACAGTACTCTCTGGTCTTGTAGTGTTGTGGTTTCTAACACTGTATATAGTCACTAGAGTTTCTTTCCAAATGAAATCATATGGAGAAACCTAATATTTCATGCAAATCAAGGCAGAATGGGTTTGCCTGAAACAAGGACTTCCAACTTCCTTCTTTCATGCACATTGGAGGGTGGCGGGGGGACTAGGTTTTCAAACTACTGACGTCGTCTGCCCTCCCCCCCATTATTGCTAATTATTTTACTATTCAAGATATGCCATCAATACGATTCATCACTGCTGATATTAACATTGATCACCTGGCTGAGATGCTCTTTGCCAGGTTTCTCTACTGTAAAGTTACTCTTTATTCTGCTTTTTTCATGCTGTTCTCTTTGGAAAGAAGTCAGTCTGCATAGCTCACACTTACGGAGTGGGGAGTTACATTTCCCTCTTTGAGAGCAGAGTATCTACATTCATTATTTGAAATTCTTATGCATAGGAGATTGGTTTATTCTCCCCCATTTATTTATTTAATCATTTATTTTTATCACTATAGACTTGTCTTTTTTAATACTTTTTTTATAGTATCATACAGAATAATTTCATCATCCTAAAAAATCCCCTGTGCTTCAGCTGTTCAATCCTCTCCGCATCCTGAATCTCTGACACCACTGATCCTTTTTTACTCTCTCTGTAGTTTTGTCAAGGAGCCCTGGCGGTGCAGTGGTTAAAGTGCCTGGCTGCTAACCAAAAGGTCGGCAGTTTGAACCCATCAGCCGCTCTGAGGGAGAAAGATGTGGTAATCTGCTCTGTAAAGATTACAGCACTGGAAACCCTATGAGGCAGTTTTACTCTGTCCTATAGGGTACTTTTTGTCCTAATGCGTACTTTTGTCTTTTCTAGAATGTCATTAATTGGATTCATATAGTATACAACTTTTTCAGACAGGCTTCTTTCATTTAGCAGTATGCATGTAAGACTCACTCATGTCTTTTGGTGATTTATTGACACGTTTCTTTTTATCACTCAACAATATCCCACTGTATGGAGGTATTACAGTTGGGTTATTCCCTAATGTGTTGAAAGATATCTTGGTTGCTTCCAGTTTTGGGCAGTTATGAATAAAGCCACTATAAACATCTGCACGCTGGCTTTTGTGTAGACGTAAGTTTTCAGATCAGGTGAATAAATACCTAGGAGAATGATTGCTGGATCATATGGAAGTGCTCATTTAGCTTTAGAAGAAACTGCCAAACTGTCTTCTAAAGTGGCTGTACCATTTTGCATTTCCATCAGCAATGAAAGAAAGTCCCTGCATCCTCACCAGAAATTGATATAGTCAGATTTTTAAGAAAATTTTAGCTCTAATAGGTGTGTAAGGAGCCCTGGTGGCACAACAGGTAAGTGCTCAGCTGCTAACTGAAAGGTTGATGGTTTGAACCCACCCAGAGTCTCTGGGGGAGAAAAGACCTGGCAATCAGTTCTGGTAAAGATTACAGCCTAGTAAACTCTATGGAATAGTTCTGTCACATGAAATCACTGTGAGTTGGAATGGAGTCAACAGCATCTAATAACAACAAATAGATAATGGTATTTCATTGTTTTAATTTGAAACTCCTTAATTACAAATGATATTTAGCATCTTTTCATGTGCTTATTTGCCATTTTTATATATTCTTTGGTGAAGTGTCTATTCAGATTTTTTGCCCACTTTTAAATTGGGTTGTTTGTTTTCTTGTTGTTGAGTTTAAGAGCTCTTCCTATATTTTGGATACAAGACCTTTTCCAGATCTGTGTTTTGCTAATATTTTCTCTAAGACCATGGTTTGTCTTTTCATTCTCAAAACAGTGTCTTTCACAGAGCAGAAGTTTTACATTTTAATAAAGTCCAGCTTACACATTTTTTCTTTTATGACTCTTGCTTTTGGTGTTCTATCAAAAATCTCATCACCAAACCCAAGGTCACATACTGCCATTTCAATTGGCATTCTGTCTAAACGTCTCACAAGTCATTAAATATGCTCTAATAATCTTTAAATTTAAAGACACCATAGGAATTCATATACATAATTAACTTTAGCATCTCTCTATAGTTGGAAATTATAAAATTTCCACTTTTTCACAATCACCAACAATCCTATGAAAAAGTGGATTTGACATTTTCATGGTCTCCATTTAACTCTGTAGCTAAGGGATTAATAAATTAAAAAATGTATACAAATCAATAAGACTCTTAGTCAAATGACAAATGATCATATTGCTAGAAAATTTACAGTTTCACTAAAAATTGGACCTATTACCCTTAAAAATATTTGACAATTTACTGAGAAGAAGACATTTCTCTTGTTAAAAGGGAAAACTAACCTCTGACAATAGAGGTTAGAATATTGGTTTCCTTTGTGGGTATTGATGTCGTGAGGGAGTCTTTAGGAGCTAGGAGTGTTCTGTATCTTGATTCCAGTGGTGATTAAATGGTTGTCTACATACATAAAATTAATAGACTTCTACACTTAAGATTTCTGCATTTTACTGTAAATAAAAAGAAAAAAGCACAATATTATTTTGCTTTCATTTTAATTTGTCTTTTAAAGTATATGTTAGTTACTTTATTTTTTTCTTGTGATTAATAAGTTCATATTCTTAAATCAGGTGTCCTTTCATTTTTCTTATTGGTTCATGAGAGACTTTTAGTCATTTACCTCATGTATTTTCCATTTATTGCAAATACTGTGCAAACTTCTAGCAATAAAAAATTTGCAGAACTGGAAACACATGAGTGTCAGCAGGATTTCCTCTGGCCAGAGGAACTTGAGCTCTTGCAGGACAGCACTTTAGACTCACTCTGGGGACGGTCCCCTGCTGTTGCATCATATGGCACTGATCCCCGGGTTGGCTTAGAGACAAGCATGTGAATATTTTTCATTCAGAAATAAAGTCATTGTCTCCCAGAAGGCTCTCAGGACTTGGTTAACTTCTCCTCTGAGCTGGCTTCATTGGAAAATGCACCCACAAGCAGATAGCAGAAACAGCAGTAAAAATCACAGCTGTTAGAAATCAATAAGTTAGTCAAAATGTGTCAAGTAACCTGGGTCTCATCCTGATTTACCCAATAATAAGCTATGTGACCATAGGCAAGTCTTTCAGACACTAAGATTCATCCTTCTCATCTATAAAATGTGGGGTTTTGACAAGTACAATTATGTATCAAATTTATGGATTGGTGACAGAAGACCAGAAAGATTTCTTGAAAAAACAACAGTGAGGCCTTGCCTTGGGTTATTGAAGATAATGACCTGGCTGATGATTGATTTCTTCCATGAGTATGGCAGTAAGGAGTGGTATTACCTATGTAACATAGGTACCATTCCTGGATTAAATAATACCAAAGCTCTTCTCTGGGGGTATCGGTGGTTCAGTGGTAGAATGCTCGCCTTCCATGTGGGAGACTTAGGTTCAATTCTGGCCAATGGACCTCATGTGCAGCCACCACCCATCTGTCGGTGGAGGCTTGCATGTTGCTATGATGCTGAACAGGTTTAAGCAGAGCTTCCAGACTAAGACGGACTGGGAAGAAAGGCCTGGTTATCTACTTCTGAAAATCAGCCAATGAAAACCCTATGGATCATAATGGTTCAGTCCACAGTGGGTCATGGGGATGGTGCAGGACCGGGCAGCGTTTTCTTCCATTGTGCTCAGAGTCACCATGTATCAGAGGCAGACTCATCAGCAGCTAACAGCTAACAATAAGCTCTTCTCTAGCTTGATTCCTCTATAATTGTTTGTAGAGGATCCAATCAGACACCAGAGAAGCTGGGATTCTACGAATTGTCACAGAAGTGTTCTTTTATGTCAGTCCTAGGAAAGGCAGAATAACATGGTGGTCAGAAGTCTGGATGTGGATACTGGGAACACCAGTTAATATCTGTGTCAGACAAGGTGCAAGTCATTTAAGTTCTTTATTTCAATTTTCTATGTTTTAATTTTACCTATACTTTAATTTTCTATGTGTAAATGGAGTTTATTATGAATATTAAATTATCTGACACGGACACTTGTTTGGAATAGTGAGTAGCAGATTGTAAGTAATCAATAAGCTAGCTGTTATTAAGATTAAAATAAGGTGGGTGTGGCTGTCAGAAGATGTTAGGAAGGGACCCAGAGTGTGGCTCTTGGTCTCTTGTACAATTCTGCCTAGAATTGCTTCCGAGCATAGACATGTGGCAGGGATGAACCTTTGGGAATACCTATGTTGTAGATGATGGAAGGAAAAGAGTATTTCACAAACGGGGGGGAAGTGAAGTCCTGGGATCCTGCCATAAACTGGAAGTGTGGAATGTCCTGAGGCTTTCCAGGGAATGGGAGACACATCTCAATGTTGACAGAGGTCAAAAGGCACTGGTGTCGAGTTCTGCAGGGAGTTCAGAGGTAAGAGTAGGCAAGTCGCTTTGATTATGCAATTTCTGTAGCTTGTTTTATTTTTA